TGAAGCAATATTGGCGGTGGGGGTGGGGGACTCCAAGCTGCTTCCCATGGTGACAGAGAAGCCCTGGAAGGCATCCAGAGGCATGACCTGCGGCATATGGACTGGAAAGGGGAGGCGGGGAAAGCGCCAGATTTGAATTTGGTGCTTTCCCCGCCTCCCCGTTCTGGTCCGTAGGTCGATTCTCCGGCTGCAAGTCGAAGTAAAATTTTGCGTCTGGAGAAGTCCGTTGGTCGAAAAGTACACAAGTGGAGCCATTCGTAAGTCGAGACTCCACTGTATTGATGTCCACCAAAAGTTTCTCAGACCTGTAGACTTGTCAAAATGTGCCTTATCCTGTCTCATGGTAATGCTTCTGTTGAAAGTGGATTTTCAGTTAATAAGTCAATGTGAATTGAGACCGTGCATGAAGAAACTTTTGCCTGTTTATGTCAGATTTACGATGCTGTCTTGAACTGTGGAGGACTTGCATCTGTTGTAATCAATATGAATCTGTAGCAGTCAGTCAGGTGTGCTCATGCACGCTACACAGAGCACTTGGAGGCTAAACACCATAAGCAATAAGAAGAAATTCGGAAGAAGAAAAGAAATTTGAGGGAGAAATTAAACATCTGAATATGCTTTAAAAAGACTGAGAGAAGAAGCCAAAATGGAAGAGGAAACAATTGATGAGAAACTAAAAGAGTTACAAAATTAAAAAGAAAGTTTTATATCTTAAATCTTTATTCTTTAAAAACAGATCACTTGTATTCTAATTTCTAACTTGATTATTACTGCAATTTCAAAATTATAAGTTTTGTAATGTGACCTCAGAGAAACCATTTTAGATAGAATGTTTATATAATTTTAGTGTACCTTTAAAACAATAAAAATGTCATTTGTTAGCATTCAGAGTCTACAGGAATTGAGGTTTGTATCTTGGTGTAATTTTTTGATACAATTGCAAAACAGATGTTGCTGCAGTTAATATTGAAAGAAGCTGATATTAAGTCTTTCTTTGACAAATATGTTTGCAGTTGAGACTTGTTGTAGAGTGGAACATTAAGACTTGCATTAGTGCAACACAACCTATTCATTTTTAAACTTGTAGTTATATTTGAATGGTGGTCAGGGAAATTGACTAACGTTGATCAGGTAAAGTCAAGGAAATGAAAAATAAAATTTCAGTGGCAACCCTGTAATGGCCCTGGATGTGTAGGATAAGTAAGCGGCCATCATCAGTTTTGTTGATTTTACAGATTTTATATAATTATAAAGTCTGCAAAATATGCTTTTAACTTAAATTTAAGGAGCCACCTACTCTTGAATTTAAAATAGGACATTGAAAATTTGGTATAGTGAACAGAATGAAAAATGATTCTCCTAATAATGATAAGGTTCAACGAAAAAGGGACAAGAAATGAGAGAAATGCTGTGTGTATCCACTGGCTTATGATTGGTCTGATTGCCTCTTTCATTCCTCAGGACTGTTGGCAGTGTATCAAATGCAAGAAATTCAACTGCCCCAGTAAAAGGTATTGTTTCCGCTGCTGGGCCTTAAGGAAGGACTGGTTCTCTGATTGTCCCAAGCTAGCCCATTCTCTCTCCACATCCAGTATTGCCAGAATACAAAGTAAAGAGGACACAGAAGGTATGGATGTCCCAGACTGCCGAAGGACTGTGTCTGCTCCAGTTGTACGACCGAAAGACCCATGTCAATCAGAAACTAAATGTAGCCTAAGTCCTAAAAGTTCTATGGAATCCCTGGATTTTGGTAGGTGCAAAGAGAGAGAGGAGGAAGAGTTGCTATCCCTGGAGAGTAGCAAAGAACTGCTGAAGCCTTGCCTTGTGTGCCAGAAGAGACCACGGAATGGCAATATTGTCCATGGAAGGACAGCACATCTAGTGGCATGCTTTACATGTGCAAAAATGTTAAAAAAGATGCGAACACCTTGTCCTTTGTGTAAAAAACAGATTCAAGTGGTGATCAAAACTTACATAGCATAGCAGCATCACTGCTGTTGGGAAGTATAATTTTTGTCTATTACATAGATATGGATACAATGCAATGCTCTTTTTCTTTTTTCTGTTTGTGTGCATGTGAGTGCACACCCATGTAAGAGGTTGAAAATAATATACGTTTTATGGTGTCCTCCACAAGCTTTTGGCACTCATGCATTTCCCCTATGGGGATGAAATGTGCTTTTACTAAGGAAATAACCATGCAGTTTTACATAGAGTAGTGCTTAATCTGCATGTTTTTGGAGGTCAAAAGATAGACAGTTGATGCTTCCTTTTCTAATGCTGTCATATGACAGGAGAGGTCACCCTAAGTTAAATATGTACTAAGTTGCCACCTGTCATCTAAATATGTACAGAGTTTCTGTGTGTTGCTTCTCTAAGTGAGTTGTTATCTAGGAGTCGAATCTAGAGCTTACAATGTTTCTATTGAGGTAAGAAAAAAAATTGTATGCATATGATGCACTTTTTCACCAGGGGTCCTTAATTGTTGGTAATATAAAAAGAAATGCTGTTATGTGTCTCTTGTACTTTGTCTAGTAAACATTGATGCACATCCTTGACAGCGTTTGCTCTGGGTATTATAATCTGTTTCCCAAATATGTATACTGTTTAAATAACCTTCATATATGAGTGGGAAATGGACTGGGGGGAGGAACAGTTGTGACATTATGGTGTTGCAAGATGTATTTAATGTGTTACAAGCTATGTATCTGATGTATATTGTAGTTTTTCCTCATAACTCAGAGCAATGAAACTGTGATCCTTTAGCCAAGAAGAATTCATACAGTATTCCAACAAACTGTCCATACAGCCAGGTTCTGATGACTACTGTAATCTGATAATGCAAGTCTCTCAATAGGCAGCTGTAAGGAAAGTGCCAGATAGTCTGAAAGTATTCAGCAGTTAGATTATAGCCAGTGGTTTGTAAGCAAATATATTATTAAATAAATGCAAATTTAAAATGTCTCCTATATTCAGCATACCTTTCCATGATACTGCTGAGCAGAAAAGGCAATGGGTACCATAATTTGTGTTTGTCTGATATGAAAACTTCTTGAGAGCCAATTATTTGAAACCTAGTTATAGATAACTATAAAATGTATACAGCCAATTGTGTGCAAAAAAGACTGATTTAACTTGTAATAATCAAAAATTTTCACCTGATTTCAAGTTTTCAGAATGATTCGATTAGTTCTTGTTCTTTTTTCAACTCAAATGTAAAGCAGCTCTATTGGACTACTGGGTCCAAAATGAGAGCCCAAAATTAGGTCCCTTCATCTTAAATTTTTGGGAACCTGCTAGCTACTTGCATCTTTTTTGGATGCAATAATTCTATGGAACTATATCCTTTATATGAAACTATTCTTTGGATGTCATTACAATATCTCTGTCCAACTTCAGACATTGACTCTTAAACTTTTTGCTTTGATAATAGAGCAAGTGAAAAGCCGAGCAAAGGCTCAGAAGCCTGTTAAATTATCTTCATAGTGGTTGCTATTAAAATAGTGTGATTATGTACTACTTAAACCTTCAATGAAATTTAGATCATTGTGTTTCAAAAACATTTCTAAACAAGTTCTGAGGACAGACCTAGATGTGAAACTCAGTATGGAGTTATCATACAAAATGTGTCCTGTAGAAATCTTCCCTTTTTCCAGTTATGGTGAGTTTGCACATTATCACTTCATGTATGTAGATGTTGAATTTGTAAAATGATACAAGATATGCTTGCATGTTATAACTTGTGAACTGGGGAGATAGAAGTGTTTTCAGCAGCAGCCGAACATTGATATTTGGATCTGCCCCACAGCCTCTGATATATTTGAATTATTTCTGTCCTTCATTCCAGTCCCGAATTGGGCCAGTGTGAGTTGGAAATGTCTTTGCTTTGAGAGTCATTATGTAAGCCCAACTAGCCTTCTGCTGTACACATTCTGTGATTTGTTTGAAATAAATGTTTTCGAATGTATTAAATTCTAATACTGTTCCTCAGTCTGATGATCAAACTTGTTCCAGGTGTCACTCTTAACTAACAGGAGCTGTTCAAATGATGTATCCATCTCTGATGCAAAGTCTGATTACTGAGCTGCGTGTATGAATTCTATAAGTAATTATAATGCTCTTACCTTTTTCTCCAGCTAGATCTGTAAATGGCTTACTGTAGAATGTACCAAAATAGATAATTTGGGAAATGCTCTTAACCCTGAGTGGGGATCTGTACTGTAAAGCTTTAGACTTCTGAATCTGGAGATCAGTTACATCAACTGCATGTTACAACATTTTCAATACAATACTGAACCAGATTACCACACAGTCTAAAATTACAGCTTGAAATTCAAGAGGCCTTCTAATGTTTTGTTTTCATTAGTTGTTCTTGTGTGATACAAGTGGTCGTGCAAAGAGCTTTATTCCATTATTTTCACAAGGACAAGAAAACCACAGTTCTGTTTGTGGTTCTCAGTCTTGTGCAATAAGGTTCTGGAGATGTTTTGATGTATTTAAAGTGTTGAGACCAAGCAGTCGTAAGATCGAATCCACGCGATGGAGTGAGCTCCCGTTGCTTTGTACAGTTCTGTTTGGTTCTCAGTCTTGTGCAATAAGGTTTTGGAGATGTTTTGATGTATTGAAAGTGTTGTATTGTGACTTTGAAGACCAAGCTCCAATTTTAAACATGAAGGCAAAGCAGTTACCAACTTCTAGCAGCAGGCAGGTGAGCTTATCTATCTACATGTCTACTGTGATCCACTACATTGACCATTAGTAGGAAACTCTGAATAATGGAACCACATGTGTCAAGTGTCTTTTTAGATCTAAAAACATCCTCTGTGGCACAATTCTAAGTATTTTGCTAAAGAGGAAGAGAGTGTCTTGTAGTAGTTTGGAAATGAGACTGAGCCTAAGTAAACATTTATGGCTAGGAAATTTATTTGTACTAGGAGTTTTATAGATGTATGTAAAAACTTGATTTAACCCCATAGTTCTTAATGCTATATATTACTGTAATGCTAGGTATAATGGTTACATGTACATGTGTCAGCATGCTCTTTCCAAAAGAACCGGAGCTAAGAATAGAAATGAATACATTTCATGTTTAGTTGAAAGGCTACAGGTACTATTTGGTAGCTGAAACATTTTATATGAATTTATATATTCAACATTTTGTTCCTGTTCTATCCTTTTATCCTCATGGGTTTTTTTCTCTCTGAAAAAAAACCTCCCACCTTTTTTCAGGAAAAGTGAAATGCCATGTTGCTTGCCTAGCTATAGACATAATCACAACATTATAGTGCTTATTTGCACTTTATTAAAACGCTTTTAACCAATTAAACTGACAGTGCTGTGTTCTTGATGCTTATGTATATAAAAATTATCTTGTAGTGGGCTTATTAACTTGGATGTCTTTTTCCCCCCTACAAAGATGGAAAATGAAAGTTTAACCACTACCACAAGAGGAAATACCTAATTTATTTGTGAATTAAGTGCATGCGAATTTGTCAACAAGAAATCCAGAAGCTCATTGAAAGCTAGCTACTCGTCTGTTGTGTTTTCTTAATAGCATAGCCTAAGAACAGCCAAGCATAATTGGATCAAGATGGTATACTAGAGGGGCTGTAGATGAGGTTTGAATCTTAAATCACTCTTGACTGAACGTTTCAGTGTGTTTCTGGGACTAGATACAGGTGGTGCCTCGCTAGACGATGATAATCCGTTCCACTGAAATTGCTGTTTAGCGAAATCATTGTCTAGCGAAAAGCATTTCCCCATTGGAATGCATTGAAACCTGTTTAATGCGTTCTAATGGGGAAGAATCGACGTTGTCTAGCGGAGATCAGCCATAGGAAAGCCGCTTTGCGAACCGCCGAGCAGCTGTTTAAATCGCTGTCTTGTGAAGCTTAGGTCCCGAAAACACCAGTTTGCGAGCGCGGAAAGAGCTGTCAAAATCGTCGTCTAGTGAAAATCGGTTTGCAAAGCAGGGACCAAACATTGTCCAGCGAAATTCCCCCATAGGAATCACTTTTCTCCGAATCGCTATAGCGATTGCAAAAAGCCAATGTCTAGCGAAAAAACTATCATGCGGGGTAACTGTCTAGCAAGGCACCACTGTACTAACTTTGAAGCCTTTGAAATGAATTACAGTGGACCCTTGACTTACAGACGGCTTGACTTACAGACTTTTTGAGTTACAGACTTCTCTGGCCGCAAAATTTAGGTTTGACTTGCAGACTGAGATTTGACTTACAGACCAGAAAAAAACCAAAATGGAACAAAAACGGCCTGTTATGGGATTAATCGGTTTTCAATGCACTGTAGGTCAATGGAGACGAAGTCTTTGAAATGAATTAGTCTAACACTAAACAGTACTACAGTGGCGCCTCACTTAATGGGCGCCTCGTTTAACGATTTTTGACTTGAGAACCGCCTTCCAATACGGATTAAGTTCTCAAGTCAAGACCCCACTGTAGTCTAACACTAAACAGTACTACAGTGGTGCCTCACTTAAACGGGCGCCTTGTTTAACGACGAATCCACATAGCAATCGTTTTTGCGATCGCATAACGATGTTTCTAATGGGAAAATATCACTGTGATAATCGGTAAGCTGTTTCGCTTACCGATTTATGCATAATGATGTTTTCCCAACAGCTGATAGGCGGTTCCAAAATGGCCGCCGGGGAAAAAAATGGCCGCCCACTGTTTTCCCACCCATTCCTCGCTTACTGTATGGAGGATTTTCACATAAAGGTAATTTTTTTGCCCATAGGAACGCATTAAACGGGTTTTAATGCATTCCTATGGGCTTTTTTATTTCGCATAGCAACAAATCCGTATAGCGACGATTTTGGCTGCATGGATTATTGTTGCTCTGCAGGGCACCACTGTATATGAAAGTTGCTAAGTCTAGAGCATTTTCTTCCTCCTCTGACTCCAATATCAATAGTATCTTCCACAGTAGTGTAGTTGCAAATTCAGAAATGGAGGATTCCACCACAAGGCTTGTAAGCACAGTCTTGTACATATACATACACATGTTCTTTCTTCTCTAATTGGATATGCCCACATATTTACATATTGCAAGTTAAGACTTAGCTGCAACTAAGGCTGGGGGGTGGTGCGAGAAAGGAATCAGTCAGGAGGGATGTGGAAGCTTTTATCTGAAAAACAGCATCCCATTTTTTAACAGCACCCCATTATTTTCTCACATGGCTTATGAAATGCAGCTGCTGCTAATGTCATGGCTTTCCTATGACCACCACCCCAGCATCTCTGTTCTGCCCCCTCCCTTGCCCTGGGCTCAGCAACAGGACACTGTGAAGCAAATACATGGAGTTGGGTGGGGGAGAAGAAGAGCAGAAAAGTTTTCCAAGCAGTCGAATGAGTGAGTTGCAGGATGGCCCCTTTTCTAAGTTGACATCTCGTGTACATGCAGTGACAAAGATTGAGGTGCCAGAAGCCAGGCAGCATTCAGGCAGGCAAGGAAAAGAGTGAGCTGGCTCGCTCTGCTTTGGTCGGAGCATGAGACAGGACAAGATTTCTCCTCCACCCAAAAGTGAAAGTAGACACAGACTGCCTCTCCCATCTGTGGGGTGCCATAAGTCTACCACGAATTTTCTAACTAAATGGTATTGGAGGGAGAAATGATTTGTTAAGAAACCACAACTAAGAAGTGGGTTGTATGTAAAAAGGTGAACATTGAAGTACTGTTCAGCTACAACTAGATGGCACCAGCTACACACAAGAAGTTATCTATACAGTTCTATGCTTCTATAAGAAGCTTCAGTGCATCAGTATATTTACACAGAATCCAAAAAAGAACCAAGTCTATTCCTGTTTACAGAACAGACGGCTAAACAAGCTGCTCAAGGAAGTGTGCCTGAAGGCTGCCAGCCGCACTTCTAGGTGTGGTAAAGCATTGTGTTGGTCTAGTCTACTAGAAGAACATGCTCTAAGAAAAAGTGTAGGTAGACTAGCAATGAAGCGCTTTCAATTTTGCTCTGAGCAGGGGTGGGGCATTTATTTTAAACTAAATAAAAAAGAAACCACCCTCTGGAGACTGTATTATTACAATAAACAGAACATATCCTGCTTTAAAAACAAATAATAGATCCAGTTTTTAAAAAGCAAAACAAACTGATGTAATTTTTGAGGTTTCTGTGCAGAGACCGATGAAATGACGTTAAAAAAAATATTCCAAATTGTTAGAAATTTGAAAGGTAATCCCAATTGAAGTTATTTTCATGACAGCAGTACTTTAAAAATGGCTTGGAACCATGAGGGCAATGCTCTGTGCAGATTTCTAAGCTGACTGGTGGGCAGAGCTCCCACTGGGTTTTAGCATGCCCACAAATGTCTGGCATCACAGTGGCCTTAAAATCTAGTTGTATGTAATTGGCCTCCACAATACACATACTGGTCCTTATAAATTAAAAGTATTTCACTGTGATGAAATTTCACTTGGTCAGGGACACTGCATGAACAGGAAGTATCAAACCATGTAGGGGAAGGGGCCGGGGCTGTGCCCATTGCCCATGCCCCAGCATTTCATTTTCCCTGTGAAATAGTAAGAGTCTGAAAAGGAGTTCTGTTCAGTTTGATTCACTGAAACCCTCTGCACTGTCAAGAACCTAGCTTTCTCAGAAATGTTAGAATCAGTTGCGCTGACTTCATCTCCATCAGGTGAGGCTCTCAGACAATTCGGTCTTGGCCACCGTGTGCACCTGACATTTCATAAATACAGTGGTGCCCCGCATAGCGATGTTAATCCGTTCCGGATTAATCGTTGCTATGTAAAAACCACTAAACGGATCAAAAAAATCCATAGGAACGCATTAAACTCCTATGGGGCCGCAAACTCACCGTTCAGCGAAGTTTCTCCATAGCGCCGCCATTTTCGCGCCCTCAGTAAGCGAGGGCAGGGCGCAAAAATGGTTGCGGTGGCCATTTTGGGCATCCGGCGGCCATTTTGGACCCGCCGATCAGCTGTTTAAAG